ATAATATATAGTATATTTAGAAAACTCTAAAGACTCAGCAAGAAAACTATTGGACATAGTTGACCAATTCAGGAAAGTGGCAGGATGTAAGATCAACATACAAAAATCAACTGGATTTTTCTACAGTAACAAAGGGAATATATAACTGGAGCTAAGAAAAATAATACCTATTACAAAAGCTAACCACAAGATTAAATATCTGGGAGTAAATCTAACTAGAAACACAAAGAAAATTACAAAACATTACTATAAGAAACAAAAAAAAGACCTGGTGAAATGGAAGAATATACCCTGCTCATGGAGAGGAAGACTCAATATTATGAAAATGACAATTCTACCAAAGGATATCTACACATTCAATGCAATCCCAATACAAACACCAATACAAGTCTTCAATGAGATGGAAAAGGCAATCTCCTATTTCATTTGGAATGGAAAGAGACCCAGAATAAGCAAAGCACTCCTTAAAAAGAGATACAAGATAGGAGGCATCTCACTTCTTGATTTCACATCCTACTATACTGCCATGGTGGTCAAGACAGTGTGGTACCCACACAATGACAGACACACAGATCAATGGAATGGAATTGAGAACCCAGGAATCAGCTCATCTATCTATGGTCAACTGATTTTTGACAAGGAGATAAAATCAGGTAAGTGGGGAAACAACAGCCTTTTTAACAAATGGTGTTAGCAAAATTAGAAAAGCATCTGCAGAAAACTCAAACAAGGCTCACACCTTGCACCACACACAAAAATCAACACCAAGTGGATTAAGGACCCAGAATGAAAACCAAGGACTATAAATTTCATTAGAGAAAAGCTTGAAAGAACAATAGTAGCACTTAATCCACAACATGAACAGTCTTCTAAGCATCCTGAAAAACCTCTAACCTGGATAGGATAAAATAGATGAATGGATCCTTCTAAGAATAAAATCTCTATGCACATCCAAAAACTTCTCCAAAAGGGAAAAAGGGAAGCCACAAACTTGGAAAAAAGATTTGGAAATGACATGTTTGATAAGGTACTTACATCTAGAATTTCTAGAATACTGGAGCTCCACAACAAGACAAAGGTAAAAAACCCAATTGGAAAATGGGCACAGGATATGAACAGACACTTCACAAAAGAAGACTTTCAGATGACAAACACATGAAGAAATGTTTCAAATTCCTAGCTCTAAGAGAGATGCAAATCAAAACAACTATGAGATATCATCTCACCCCAGTAAGAATAGCAAAATTCAACAGAACAGCAAACAACAAATGCTGGCAAGGTTGTGGATAAACTGGAATATTTAACTCACTGTTGAAGGGAGTATAAAATGATACAACCACTACGAAAGCAGTATGGTGCTGCCTCAAAAAGCTGTAAATAGAAATACCATTTGACCCAGCAATTCCACTACTAAGAATATACCCTAACGAAACCATAAAAGGCATCCAAGCAGATATATGCACACCCATGTTTACTGCTGCTTTGTTCACAATAGCAAAGAGTTGGAAACAACCCAAATGTCCATCAACAAATAAATGGATAGAGATGCTGTGGTATATTCACACAATCAAATATTATGCAGCACTGAAAAACAAAGAACTCATGAAATATTTTACAAAATGGATGACCATGGAGGATACTAGACTGAGTGAAATATCTCAGTCACAAAAAGACAAACACTGTATAATGCCACTGTTATAATAAAACAGAACTGACAAGGGGGTTGGAGGGAAGCCAAGAAAAGAGGGGATAAAAAATGTGCACGGCATTGAAACAGCCAAGGGAGAGAACTGTATAAAAGGAATATATGATTAGGTATTATTGGTGTGACAAGAGTCCAGAATAAGAGCCGCATAGTAAATTGGTCTGTGAGAGGGACTGTATAACAGCGAAAGAACTTTTTCTAAAGAAAAAATTAACTGGGTGAGAGGGAGGGAGGGAGGAAACTGTGCAACAATGAATGAATGGAAATCCAAGTTCTTTATAAAATTATAATTAAATCTTGATTTAAAAAAAAAGAAAATGAAAAGAAAGTAGGGCTCACAATTCAGTGAGCACTGAAATCACCTAGAAGCTTATGAAGCCAGATTCCTGGGCCCACCCCCAGAATTTATGATGGAGCATGTTCTCAACAAACTGTGGCTAACCTTGAGAAGAATTCAAGTCCAAGAACACCTGATTGGGCTAATGTGAAACCTATACTTGGACCAGGAAGTGGTCATTAGAATAGAGCAAGGACCCATCAACAAATGAATGGAAAGAAAAACAGTGGTAAGAATTCACACAATGGAATACTACACAACACTGAAAAATAAGGATCTCATAAAACATTACACGATATGGGTGACCCTGGAGGCCATTATGCTTAGTGAAATATCTTAGTGACAAAAGGACACTGTATGATACCACTGTTATAAAGCAGGTCTGACAAGGGGGTTAAGGGTAACTAAGAAAAGTGGGGATAAATAATGAACACTGCATTGGAACAGATGAAGGAAAGGACTGTTTAAAAGGAATATATGATTAGGTATTTTCCGTATGGCAACAGTTCAGAGTAAGAGGTGCAAAAAAGGACAGAGTAAGGAATCTCTGTATGGTTCAAACTCAGGAAAGGAGTGCATTAGAGATGCATCCTGTCTCCATACCTTTTCAACCTATCAGGAGGCTGGACTTTATGAGGTGGAATGAGACATTAGGATTGGAAGAGGACTCATCAACAATCTGCATTATGCTGATGACACAACTGTGCTTGCCAAACATGAGGAGGACCTGAATCATTTGCTGCAGAAGATCAAGGATTGTAATCTTCAAAATGGATTAAAGCTCAACATCAAAAAGACAAAGATTTTTATAAGCCTACCAAACCAACTGGCAGCACCATCACAAATGGGCACAAAATCAAGATTGTAAACAATTTCAGCTTGCTCAGTTCCACAGTTAACACTCTCCACACCAACAGTCAGAAAATAAAAAGATAAACTGCACTGGAAAAGTCTACTATCAGGGACCTTTCCAGGGTACTGAGGAGTAATGATGTCTGTCTAGAGACTGAAGTGTACCTGATCCAGGCCATGGTCTTCACAATTACTTGTTATTCATCAGAGAGCTGGACAATGACTAAGGATGAAAGAAAAAGAATCAATGCCTTCGAGTTATGGTGCTAGACATAGTATTGAACATACCACAGACTGCCAAGAGAACAAACAAGTCTGTCTTGGAGAGGGTGAAAGTAAGGAGCACTTGAACACAAGGACAATGAAGCTCCAACTGACACACTCTGGTTACATTGCCCGGAAGGACCAGTCCTTGGAGATAGACATCACACTTGAAAGGGTAGAAAGACAGTGCAAGAGAGGAAGACCCTAGAGGAGATGAATTGATACACTAACTATTGCAATGGGGGCAGGAGTGTTGGACTGCAGTGAGATTGGCTCAGTCCACCAGATAGCACATAACAACATATGTTGCTGGTTCTACCAGTCACAGGATGACACTTTGAGGACCATCGTTTTATAAGCCCACTAAACCAAAACCCAAATCCACTGCCTTCAAGTCAATTACAACCCAAAATGACCTTATAGAAGAGGACTGCTGTTAGGTACCATCAAGTCGACTACAACTCATAGTGACACCATGAATGGCAGATCCTGTGAAAACTCTATCACAAATCATGAGGCACAGGATAGGACAGGACAGGGTTCCTCACAGGCTGTAGTCCGTTCAGAAACAGTCTGCCACATCCTACCCCCATAGAGACCAAAGGTGGGTTCAAAGCTCCAACCTTACAGTTAATAGCTTAGAATTTAACGATTGAGGTGAGCTCTAGTGTCCTACTGGCAAGAAGCTGCACTGCAATCCCACAGGTGACCGGTTCAAATCCACCAGCAGACAATCTCCTCCTGTACCAGTCAGATCCAATTTGATGGTACACACATACACACACAAAAAAATTTTAAAAATTAATTTAACCATTGTATCATAAATGGCTGGTTATTGTTCCTATATGCCATTGAGTATAACTAACAGTGACCCTATGAACAATAGACCTGACTACTGTCAGATCCTGTGCCATCCCCAACATGCTTAAACCCAATGCTACAATCACTGTATCATCTCATTCAGAGGCCTCCCTTCCCTCAATCTTTAACTCTCCCACCTTTATATCTCCTATAAATTTCTAGCCTCACCCTAACCAACCCCACTGCAGTCAAGTTGATTCTGACTCACAGCAACCCTACAGGATAGATCTGAACTACTTCATAGGTTTTCAAGGCTGTAAATCTGTATCCAAGTTGACTGCCACATGTTTCTGCCTCAGAGCCCCTAGTGGGTTCAAATCATTGATCTTCTGCCTAGCAGTCAACTGTTTTAACCACTGCCCAACCAGGTTCCCATGCTTTGCGTCCACAGTGGACATAAGTTAGTGCTGTCCAGTTGAGGATCACTGGATTAGGAAAGGAAGCTCTGGCCAGGACATCAGAATAAACCTACTGAAGTTGAGTCAATTCCCACACACAGCAACCTTGCATCAGGTTTCTGAGGCTGTAATTGTAAGACTGCCCATATTTCTCCTGCATGGCAGCTTGTGGATTCATTACTGACCTTTGGGTTAGCAATACAACATACTGCATGCCAGAGCTCCACAACCAGGGCATCAGGGGAAGAGAATAATTATCCCAATCTGCTACCAAGTCAAGGTTTTTTAAGTAAGGTTTTCCAGGCCTTGGCTTGCTTGGGAGATATAAAACTGATGCAAATTTGATCATGAGGTCCTTATAGAAGTAAACTGATGGCTTTTGCCATGAAATACACACTGCCTTTAGTGTATAAATAGAAAAGATTTATTTCTAAAATCCTCACTCAAACATGTCTGAGGACACACCTATGATCACTTATGCAGTTTCTCAGACTCACCTGTCAAGACCTTGCAGCGCTGTCCAAGGACCTTCACCTTCGTAGAGGGGTTAGGTGTCCATTTCCGCCTGGCAAGATGCTTTCCACTGAAAGGGTCCTGGGATGTATTGAGTGGCTGGATTAGCACCTGCTCCTGCCCAAGCTGAATAAGGCCAACCTGCCAAGAAGGAAAGGAAAACAAAACACTGGTCATCCTTATTCACACTCATAGTACCAGCATCCTGAGGAGCACAGTCAGGGCATGGGTCTGGGCTTCATGTCTGTGTCTGGGCTTTACGTCTGAATTTTATTCCTTGTGGGGTGCTGTTTTGCTCAGGTATCTGTATGACATGGAATCACTGCATTTTGCAGCTGTGGTTGGGAAAGGTGAGCAGGGTGTGCACTGGTAGAAACTGCACACAGCCACATAAATTTTCCAGATCTGCTTTCAAGAAAGGTATATTACTTTATAATAGTAAATTTTTAATCATCTCAAACTGGATTACCTAGGGGTAAAGCCCCAAACCATAAAGATCATAAGAGAAAAAATGGAACCAAACTTCAAGGCCCTAGGCTATGGTATAAATAAGCAGGCTGGAAAATATAGCCAGAAATTCACAGCCAGGAGATGATATCAATGAATGGAACCCTCTAAAGATTAAATCCCTTTGTGTATCAAAAAACTTTTTACAATAGGGTGGGGGTAAAAAAATCCTACAGACTGGGAAAAAACATTTGGCAATGACATTTCAGCAAGAGTCTCATAATGAGAGTTAATCACAAAATAAAAGACAATGGAAAAACTTTTCACAGAAGAAGACACTCAGATAACTGACAGTCCCATGAAAAAATGCTCAAAATCATTGGCAATAAGAGAGATGCAAATCAAAACCACAACAAGGTATCATTTCACCCCAGTAGCAGTGGCAAGGTTTAACAGGAGAGCAAGAAATAATGTTGGAGAGGATATGGAGAAAGTGGGACTCTTACACACTGCTAGTGGGATTATAAAATGGTACAATAACTTTGGAAAGCATTCTGGCATTTCCTCAAAAGCTGAACATAAAAATCTCATATAACCCAAGCAACTCCATTACTAGGAATATACCCAAGGAAACGGAATTGAGACACAGAGATTTGTACAGTTATGTTCTTTTAAAAATATGTTTTAAAATATTCTGCAAAAGTACATTTGAGAAAGCAAGCCTAAAATTATTGACAATTACAGCTTTAATTAAAAAATATGTATCTTATGCCTGGGAACATATAGAATATACAAAATATTAAATAAGTCAGACCTACAGTATCAGTAATTAGTAATAGGACGTTTATAGTGTTTTTTTTTAATTTGTAGCGTTGAAGAGAATTTTATAGTATTACCCAATGGATTATATTTGTTAACTGTGACTAGACTAGACTTGTGACTGTAAAATATTACTTTTACAAGTAATACAATAAATAATATAATATAA